GAGTGTGTGAGGGAGCAGTGATGAGTCTCTACCCTGGACTGTGGGGATGTGACAGTGGTTGTGCCTAAGTGAATGAGGACAATGGTGTCTCTTTGCTTATGCACCCATAGTCAAGTGATCCTCCTCTGTAAAGCTGTGTTGAGAGGATTTGCTGGGTAGTGTTTCAGCCTGCAGGTGGGTGGGGTGGTAAAATGTTTCTTGTGGTGACTCCTCAGGACTTCTGGGTAGAAACCTAAGAAGCCCAGCTTGAAGTCTGCTAATGCGATGGCAGGTGCCTGTGGGCTCAGTTTGGTTTGTCTTTTTGTTTTTTTTTCAAGTGGATTGTACATTCAGTCCAGGAGTCTTATGTCATGTCTGAACTAAGCAGCATTCATGCCAAATGGAGCTACATTAAGCTCCCTGGGGAGGGAGATGTAGAGCTGCTGTGAGCAAATCTAAGTGGTCCACATGGTGTCCATATCTGCAGCACTTACCAAGTCTGAACTGGGGAGTCTGAGCTGCCTGGCTGGAACCTGTGCTGAGGCAGGGACTGGGCCCCTTGTGGTGCTTGATGCTGCCAGTGATCCAAAGCATTGGGGCTATCTGTTACCCTGTGATACACGAGAGTCCTGCTGTTTGCCAGGATGGGGCCCTAAGAAACAAACGGAGTTGTGTGTGCTCACAGCAGAGAGAAGGTGCAACAGCCCTAGGAAATGTAAAGAGGTGATTGTAGTAGTACCACATTGTAGAGTCTTAGTTATACACACTCCGTGCACCTGAACCTACAGAAACACCTGGGATCAGAAACGGGGGGCCAAAGCTATGATGGCACAAAACATTGCACGAAGAAAGGAAGGTCACTGCCCCAAAGAGTATGCTGACGTGTCTTGCCACAGGTAAAGGGAAGCCTGGTCCAGAGCGAACCATATCAGGCCTGTTCCACAATTGCCAACCGGGAGGAAGTGCAAGGCAAAATTGCGCTGGCCCAGCGAGGGGGGTGCATGTTTGCTGCCAAAACCAGGAACCTGCAGGGAGCGGGCGCCTCGGGAGTGATTTTTATTGGTGAGTGTCTGGAGCTGTCATTAGCTGACAAGTAGCGTCTCCCAAAGCACATGTGTGTTAGTGGTGTGCTGTTTATCAGGGCAGCATGCAATATGGACGGGAGGAGGCAGGGTAAGAGGGTGGACCCTGTTAAGTAGGTGGGGCGTTGTTTACAGAAAGGGAAAGGATGTTCATGGTGGGCTGGGAATGAGGGGACAGACTGAAAGCGAAGCCACTGGTGTCAGTAACTGCTGGTGTTGGTGAGACTAAAGCAGTTCTGGGATGTGTTAGGTGGGGTCTTTGAAGCAGAGCCCTAGGAAGTGTGAGTGGCCCTGTACATGGCATTGGTGAGACCCCACTTGGAACGCTGTGGATACAGTGCACGTGTGTTTGGGTGGTTGGCATCTTTAGAAGGGGCTGAAAGGAGACTGGGTCGCTCAGTGCAGGGGAAGAGGAGGGCAGTGTCTTGTATGAGGGAGATTTCTGCTATAGAGCAGCCTGTTTTTGCTGGCGGCACAGGCAGATGTCACAGTGACCTGCTTCTGGTAGGAGGAAGACCGAACAGCTGGTGTTCTGGGGCAGTCAGGTCGCTTGTGGTCTTTGGGGTAAAGTGAGTGCTACATGTTGGGTCACATGAACAGGGATCACCTGGGGTTTGTAGCCTTTCTCTGGTATGGGACACAATGTATGCAATCAACCCCTGCAGCCCTTGTCACTAAAAAATAGTTGCCTGCAGGCTCGGGAAATAAAGGGGAAATGTAGCCCAAGTGGCAAACATAGCTAGTCTCCAATGGACAGGGGAGAGCTGCTGGTCTTGTGCACCCCAGAAGCCCTAAGCCAGAAAGTCAAAAGGGGTCAGAATAGGAATAGCACTTTTTTGTCTGTTGTCCCCATCAATAATGTGTCTAGAGCGGGCAGGGAATAGTGCTCCAAGTTACAGGGCTTTGGTCTAAACCAGCATGGGGAACAGCATGCGTGGGTGGGGGTGAGGTGAAATGTTTCCAGCTCGGACCCTGAAAAGCCATTCCCCTCTCTGTAGATGATGCAGAAGGCAGCCGCAGCGAGGACATGGTGCCTTTCCAAATGGCGGGAGACGGCAGTGCTGATGACATTGTCATCCCCCTTGTCTTCCTCTTTTGGAAGGAGGGCCAAACCCTCCTGGATGCCTTGGCCCATCATCGCAATGTGGAGGTGGTGTTGGGTGCCAAACTCTTCTTGCTAGGGGAAGGTAGGTAGAAGACAGAGGAGCCAAGGGTGGGCAGGGGCTGGGAAACAACACCAACTGAGGGATACTTAACGGGGGTGTCATAAGATTGGGTAAGGGTGCCACCCAGTAGTAGCACTGTGAAGTGTACAAGTACTTAGGCATGAGTACAAGATAAATCCACATCTTTCAAGCAGGAAGCCAAAGTGGCAAAAACATTCTGACCTACACAGTGTAGGGAGAAGCAAGCTGGGATGATGCATGGCAAAAGGGGAAAACTTTCTCCTGCATGGGATCGAATTGTACCCAAGACTGCAGTGTCTTTCTGTGAGGAGCTTTGGCGCAACCCCTTTGTGGCTGGCATGATGCCAGCAAATAAAGGGTCAGGTGGTGTGGGAGACAAGGTACAGGAAAGCAGGCAGATGCCAGCTTTGATTGTCAAGTGAGAATGACTGATGCATGCAAAATGAGTCAGCTCCTTTTATATGCATTTTAAGAGCACTCACCCAGTGGCTATTTCAACTTTGTAGACAAAGAAGAGAGTCCTGCATCTCCAAAAGACGCCTCGGAGTTGCTGCACGTTGAGCGAGAAAGATGCTTTCGAGGTGGCTGGGACCAAGCAGTCACGGAGGAGGCCTCTCTCAGTGCCCCAGACGGTAGCTGGCAGCCAGTACCTGCGGCCCAGGAGCACTGAACTGGCCTAGCCACTGGCCGCCCCCCAGCCCGGGGATGCTGAGAACTTGGAACGATGGTGCCACATGACCACAAGCTGGCCATGCAGCCAGGAGTTGGCATTGGCAAGGTTGGAAACCTAGCCACTTACAACCTCAGGAACTTTTACGTATGCAAATTTGTGTGATAGTGCGGGGGATGGCCTGTGGGGGGCGGGGAGGGGTTCTGCTGAAAGACCAGGGAAGAGGACGGGGAAGACCCTGAGGAGGTGGCCTTTGCGCACGTTGGAGAAGGACTTGGGGTTTTTTCCTGGTGTTTGTCATGGC